TCTAAGTTTCCTGGCCCTGTGGTTTGTTGTCTTATCAGTAATTATGGAAGCATCTTGGCATAGTTTTAGTATCTGTTTTTCTCTGTACTACCTTTCAAGGTATATGTATGGTCTACATGCAGATATTTTCCCATAGTTCTTGGATGTTCTGTTTTTTTTCATTCTCTGAAGCTTAAATATGATATGCCTAGGTGCATCTCTTCCTGAGTCTATATATCATTTGGGGTATTTTCTGAGTTTCCTTCTACTTATGGTGTGGTGTCTCATTAATTTGGGGGAAATTTTGGCTATTATTACTTTAACTATTTCACTCTCTACTCTTTTTCTTCTCCTTTTCTAACTCCAGTTCTATATATGTTACCCTTTTGATATTGTCCCAAGGTCTTAGTTCCTCCTCCTCCTCTCTCAGTTTGGCTACTTTCTGTTGACTTATCTTCAAGTTGACAGTTTCCCTCTTCAGCAGTGTTGTCCACTGATGAGCCCTGAGCCCCTGCAAGGTATTTATTTCTGTTACTATGGTTTTTAAAATTTTGTTAAACTGTTTCTTAGTTTCTGTTACTCTGCTTATGGTACTCATATTCTTTAATGCATTGTATTTTTCCCATTAGAGCCTTTAACATATTAATCACTGTTATTTTCGCTATTTAAATTCCCTGCCTGCTAGTTTTGACAACTGTGTTACAGCAGTCTGGTTCTGATGATTGCTTTGTCTTTTCAGACTTTTAAAACATTGTTTTTTATAATGCTTCGTAATTATCACTGAAAGCTGGGCATGTTGTTAATAGGAACTGAGGTGAGTAGCTCTTCAGTTTGAGAATATCATTCTCATAAGTTGGGTCCTATTTAGTGTTTGCCGTAGTTACAGGTGCTAGAGGTTTCAGTTCTTCTAATGTCTTTGGGTTTCTCTGAGTACTCCTCCTTGGAGACTTTGTGGCTTGCAATTCTTAAGGCTTTATCATTTTAAAGCTTGTTTGTGTGATAGTAAGTGTTATGCATGTATGTTTATGTGTGTGTCAGGAATGTGACAGTCTATAATTTTTATTAAATTTCAGTCTTTCAGTGGGCCTGTGTCCTGTAGTTGTGACCATTTCAGGTATTTCTTCAGTGCAGTAGGATTTGTTCTTCCAGCCTCCTACTTCCTGAATTCGTTGCCGTACCCCCAATCTATTTTCTTGAAGCTTTGATCTCTTTTGCCTCTTACCTACATGCTTTCTCTGTGTCTTGGTTACTTTTGTCTCATTGCTGAGACAAAATGCCTGGCACTCAAAATTAAGGAAGGAAAGGTTTATTTAGCTAACAGTTTGTGGAAGTTTCAGTCCACACTCAGCTGGCTCCAAAGCAGACTGGCACATGGCAGAGGGCAGCAGTTCATGGTGGCAGAAAACAGCAAAAACAAGAACAAAAGGGGGGAGCAGTAGTGGAAAGAGCAGGCCTCTTTCCCTCCCTTATATTGTATGCAAGCTACCTGCCCCGGGCGGGTGTAGCCCTCATCCATAATCCCAGCATTGGACCATGGATCAGTCAAAAACTCTAGAGGCCCCCCCCACCATGACTGCATGAGGCTTTGATGCGGGGCATCTAGATACAAACCATACCACTCTGCTCAGGCTGGAGAGGACTGGTACGGGAGGAAGTTCTTCCCATAAATTGGGATAAGGCTGTATAAAGGTTTTTCTCCTGAATAATAGGCCTTTGTTACAGAGAAAGTTCTTGCTATAGTCTTTTTCCTCTTTACCTGCTAGAGTTGAATTTTCACTGTTAGAACCTGGTGAGTTTCCTGGAGGCAAAGTTATTCAAAAAAGGACAGCCCCCTTGTCTGGTGAGTTCCTGTTCTTAGGCTGTTCTCCACTTTGTATCCATCACATTGAGCACCTACCAGAATGTTAGGGCACTAGTAGCTTCTGCTTCAGATAAATAGATCTCAGTTGCTGTATTTCTGTGTAAGAAAGGGGCTTATTTAGACAGTTTGGCATCGTTTTTCTTTTTGTATCTCATGTTATGTCACTATCTATAATCTAGTATGGCCTCCTTTCTGTTACTTAGGAAGTCTTTTCTTGTATCTGGGCCTTTGCATTGGTATTTCTGTGCTTGAGGCTCTTTCCTGCTAATTCTTTCCAACACTGACTCATTCTTAGTAAACCTGAGTATCAAATAGGCCTGTATTACCTATTGGCTTCTCTTCATTTTTGGATTGTAGTACATGATCCTGATTTACTATCTTCTGTATTTTCTGTCTCTTCCATTAGAATGTTAGCTTTAGGAGGACACAGACTACAGTGGCTTAACTCACAAGGAGGATTTCTGATGTATAGTAGGGACTTATTAAGTATGTGTTGAATTCATGAATGACAATTGGTAACTGAAGGCACCAACAATATAAAGATTGAGAAACTAGAACTAAGACCCTAACATGGGGAAAAATTTGCTGCAGTTCATGAGCTATAATAAGAAAGTGGCAGGGACGAAGGTATATTGGGCATAGTAAGTTGTGGCAGATAGTTTGGATTTTGTTTGAATTGTAATGAAAAGGTTATAGTATGGAGTTTTACTTCCACCTAGTCTGTTTCTCCAAATTTTGGAGCGGGGGCAGGCCTGTGAAGAGTAGATTGAGGGGGTGGAGATTGGCATTTGTAGTACATAAAAACATTATTTGAATTAGCTGGTAGTAGAGGGCATGATAGAAAACGGATAGATATGGGGTTTATTTTGAAGTGGCACTGACCATGACTTGCTTATGTCAGGAGTGGAAAAAGTGAAGGTGAATAAAGGATAATATCCAAGCTTTTTTATTTGAGTAACTTAGGGAAAGATTGTGTTATTTACTGAAATGGGAAATACAAATGGGAAGATAGGAGATATTAGACATACAATTTTGGTCAAATTTTGCTTTAGATACTGTTAAGACTTTTATTTGGAAATGTCAGGTAGAGAATTGGATTTTCAGTACATTGAAGGGGGAGACATTTGAATTGGGATAAAAATTTGGGAGACTGTTAGACATACCCAAATTTGCCATTTTAGTCCATGACAGTGAAAGGTATTGCTTAGTTTATGGCAAGGGAGAAGAACTTCCAGCATTTAGAAGTCATGTGAAGGAGCTGTGACCCGAGGATTTGGAGAAGGATATGCTGCAGAAAGACATCTGAGTTGTGTGGCACATTGGCAATCAAAGATTCATGGTGCAGTCTAGTGGAATACACACCTGGCTGGCTAACACATGGTGCATTTCTGGAGACATATAACTTGCAGAGTGGGAAAAACCTTGACAGTCCGGAAAGATAGAAGGCTTTTAAGAAAGAAAGATATTGTCATGTATAACAAATAAATGATGAAGATATTTTTGGGAATTTTGATTTTTAATACACTTGGAAAGTGTGTTTTAAAAGTGTAAGTTGAAGTTGAAAATAAGTATTTCGGCTAAGAGCAATGTTGTTAGTGTCACCTACTGGCAAAATGGAATATTGCAGTCTTATTTATATGTGGAAAAGACATTTATAATGGAAAGACACCTCTCCCCTTTCCTGGGTGATTTTATGCATCTCCCATATGTGAGCTCCAGTATAGCAGTCTACCCATCTGCCTTAGTTGTGTAACCCTAGGGCTGTGTGCAGTGTCTGTTCCATAGGATTTATCTTCAGCCAAAATTATTTGTATGAATATATGAACCTCTGGAAAGGGTAAAGGTATTGAATATTTGTGGGGATAAAGCACAAAATAGAATTGTATTTGATTCCTGTTAAAGCTTGTACGTAGATGTTCCCCAAAAGCCTCATGCAGTGATAGGTGGGGCTTTTTCAGAAATGGCTGGATCTGGAGTGTGTGATACTGAGATAAAGGGTGTGTGATTACTGATAAGAACAGATACTGCATTTGATCTTAGCCAAAAGGCCAAGAAGTGATAGGGTGTGTGATTACTAAATTAGCCCACTGATTGGTTTGGGATAGTTCTGAGTGTGAATAATGGGAAGACCCACCCTAGGTGTGAGTGCTACCCACTGTAAGGCCCTGTAACCTGTATAGAATAGAAAGGGACAGAAAGAGGGCTGTGGGGGTTGCTTATTGCTTGCTACTTCACCACTGTCTGCCTTCTGCCTGCCCTGCTTTGCCATGGGCTTTTGCTCTTCTGTGATGCCCTCTGCTGTGTACCACCCTGTATTGAAGCCAGCCAACTATGAACTGAAACCACTAAAAACTGTGAGCCAAATAAACCTTTCCTCCTTTAACTTTAGGTGTCAGGTATTTTGTCTCAGCAATGAGAAAAAGTAGTAAGACAATTACTGGAATGTTTTTTTCTATGGGGAAATGTGTGCCCCATTTTGTGCTGTTAACATATCTGGAAAAGAAAAGGTAGACTCCAGGGTGTTGAATTAGTCAGTCAACTTAAGTGACCCAGAAAAAATACTTAAAGGTGTAATACTTGGTGTTGAGAAGATAAGATTTTTGAAAATACTTGGATTTAATAAAGTAATTGAGTTTTTGTAAAGAAATTGTTAAACTTTTTTTGAGACACAGTCTTGCTATGTTGCCCAAAGACCGTCTTGCCTCATTCTCCCAAGTATTTGGGGATACAGGAGGATACCAGTGCACCCAGCTGAATGTGCGTGTGTGTGTGTGTGTGTGTGTGTGCGCGCGTGTGCGCGTGCACGCACGCACTTGTGTGTGAATTTGTAGGTGTTTCTAGTATCATGATTAATTATTTCATCATTCAAAAGAGCAAAAACAATATTTTAAAGAGAAATAAGTGAGCTAGGTAGAGGTACATCTGTTTGGTTGATTTGTGTGTTTTTCTGGGAACAATATGGTTCTTTCAGTCTGGAAGCTCAGAGTGAAAGAGTGCATTTCCATCATGTGGCCCAGTCCAAGGAGGTAGCCTTTCTTAATTTTGAAATCATCATCTAGCAAATAGGATTCTTCATATGAACCATTTTTAAAGCTTCATTAGTTTATGTTTTTAATTAGTATATGTTTTAACCCATTTTTCTGTTTTTTAATCCTTGTAGTTTTGCCAGGTGGATGTGGGAGAGAGAAGTTTGCAGAACTGAAATGGAGGTCAGAGCTTCATTACAGAAGGTTAGCGGGTCATCTGATTCTGTGGCTGCAATGAACAGTGAAGGATTTGTTTTCGTTTCTCAGCAAGCAGATGATACTTCTACAAAAGATGATGAAAAACCTCAACTGAAGGTATCTTTTTCTTTTCTAATGTGGCACTATGTTTATTTTTTGTTTTAAACTATTTGAAACTTAGGAGATGTATAAAGATTTTAAGTTTTCTCTAAAATAAAATCCATGTTTGATATATCTAGAGGCTGAATATTTGGTTTGACTGTTTTTAAAGTTTCTTTTGATGATTTATCTTTTAGCTTGGAATTTTAGAAGGTAGAAATAGAAAGGAAAATAAGAAAGGGCAATTGCCTAATTAAGCTTAATTGTCAAATCTTACATAATTTTATCTGACTTTTTTCCTCTTCTGGGATTTAGAAGTTAATTATATAAAAGTTATATTTCTCTTTCACTTCAGATACTTTCTTTCCATTATGAGTTTTATATTTTAAATCATCTGGTAACACTCTGTTAGGTGATTTCACAGTTGACTTTTGTCTACATATTTTTAAAGTATGTATCTTATATTTTTGGCAGAAGAATTTTCATTTGGATATGATCTTTTTTTCATTTTTGGGTTGTTTTTCCTAATTCAGAGAAAAAGAAGCAAGAAAACCCAAGTATATGTGCACAAGAATTGTATAACTGTCCTATAGAAACAGGAATAGAAAAATTATTCAAAAAATGCTGTGGTTTTTTGTGTATGACTTTTATATTAAATATATGATATTAACATTATGTTAACTGATATTAATATATTGATACAATAAAATGTGTTACAAAAATGAGATTATTAAATACCTATTTTATATTGGAAATGCATAGTCTTATTGTTTTATTCAAATGATCAATGGCTTTATTTGAGATATCTGCATTTTAGCATTATTGTGTTTAAATCATTTATTTACTGAGGCTTTGTGCCACAGCTGCTTTTAAAAAAGTTAAGTCAACCTTGTGTTTTTTATTTTTATTTTTTTTTTTGGTACAGGGAATTGAACTCAGGACCTTGTGCTTGCCAGGCAAGCACTGTGCTGCTGAGCTGTGTATATTCCTGGCCCTGCTTTTTTTAATTTTAAAAAAATTTGTTTTGATACAGGGTCTCACTACGTTGTTCAGCCTGATTTTGAATTCAGGGCAATCCTGGGAATTACAAGTGTGTACCACCATGCCTGGCTAAGTCAATTTGAATTTATGGGCCAAGCATAGTGGTGAATGCCTGTAACGTAGCACTTAAAAGCTGAGACCGGAGGATGGCTATGAGTTGAAGGCCAGCCTGGTTGCAAAGGCAGTTCAAAGCTAGTCTGAACTATATAATGAAACCCTATCTCAGATAGCCGAAAAAAGGAAATTAACAGTGTTCCCCTTGTCAGCTAGCAAACATGCATAAAGAAATTGGTCATATATTTATAATATAATGGCAAAAAACCTTTTAAATGATATTCACAGTAGACCTGACTCAAGCTTAGTTGATTTTTTTACCCTTTAAAACACATAAATTTAAAATTATCTGATTTTTAGGATATATTTCTAAGAAAAAAATCTCTGTAAATAAGATATTTCAAATGTAATTGGAAACTACCTGAAGTGTTTTATGAAGAATCTTTTTGTGATGCTAATAATTTTATGCTTCAGTTGTTTGTTTTTTTTTTTTTTTTTGGTTTTTCTCCAGTACTGGGAACCGAA